TTGGTTTGAAAATTTATTTTACTAAATTGAAACTGAATTTAATGATTTGAAACTGAATTTAAAGTTTTGCATCTGAATTAATTTGCTTTGAAACTGTTTTTTGTTTTATTAAAAATTCAGTCAGACTACTTTCACTTTTAATTCCATAATTCAATTTCAGTTCCAAAATTCAGATTTTTGTGTCACACATCCTGGTCCTTGAGAAAGCCAGCCAGAATAATCAAACACAGATCCACAGATTTATGTTTCACTTTGGTGAGGTTTCCCTTCTGTAATGTAACAGAATTGATGCAATCCACAATAAAAGTGACAAAAACACAATTATTTTATTGCAGTGATTAATTTTACCTATATGTAGAAAATGTTACATTTACATCACATGGATCACATATTGATCAGATGCTGCTGCTGACTGGTGTATGTAACATTTTCTATAGGTAAAATTAATTTCAATTTCAAATTATGCACATACAGATTCAATCTGAACAATTCAAATTCAATTCCTGCTGGCACAAGATTTATCCCATAGTTGTCCATATATCTCTGAACATCAGTAAAAAAAAGGTTTAAGACTGACATGCTTGATAAGCTAATGACCAGTACAAACAAAAGCAAAGTAAAGTGGATCTTAATAGGATCCAGTCTTCCTTTTTTATAGTGGTTTGTGTAAACACTCTGGTATTGTAGGGACAGAGTTGGGCACAGTTGCTAAGCCGCTAATTTGATAATAACAGAACTAGCTCCTCATTTAGCAGATTAGCCTTTTTGCTAATTTTGAAAAATGGTAACGGTCCTATTAGCCTCCGCTAAAGCAGTTTAGCTCATTTTAAGTCAACTAATAAAATTCACAAGTGTAAAACTTCTATTTTTATGCCATTTATCCTGATTTAAATAAAAACTATCCCTCTTACAAGCAGGCCTGGATGTGTCAGGCACCCTGTGTGTAGCATGTAGCGTCTTTAGCAGCTAAGCTTCAAACTAAGGGCGTCAAAAAGAAATAAAATAATATTTAACAATATTTAAATAACAAATACAAAAAAATTATGTTGTAGAAAAATTATTGGCTATTAGTTGTTTGACTAACTTCAAACAGTATTTATAAAACTACAAACTCAATCAAAGACATGCTTTATTATTAAAAAAACGGGTTAAACTAACTCTGGCTTGGATTGGCAGATTTGACACAGATGGTCCCACCCACCTTCAAATCAGACCAATAGAAAACTAACAGGTTTGTGTCAGTCCACCTGTCTTCAACATGACAGAGAGTGACAGATTGTGTAACAGTCATCTTAGCGGTAGGGCTGTGTATTGGCAAGAATTTGGCGATACGATACATATCATGACAGACGGGTCAGATACGATATATCCCGATATATTGCGATACTGTAAGCA